TGTGTGTGTGTGTGTGTGTCAGTGGAAAAGGTTGCACAGAGTATCTGACCCCCTGTTGAAAGTTTCAGTGGCCCTCTTTCTAAAATTATCAGCCAGGACAAAGAGGAGTCCACTTACACACCCTGTAACCTGATGACACACACACACACACACACACACACACATACTTAAACACACAAACAAGTGCTCACATCCCCTGAGATAAAAATAGCACACTGTGGATGACCGGAAATGAAAGGACGTATGGAGGCCGGACATATGCCGCATAAAACAGCGACCACACACAAATACCAGCTAAGTCTAACTGATTAAAGGACCTCGTTATTTAAGGCCTCATTTTTACACTTTTACTCCTCGTTACTCACAAAGTTCTCCACTCAGCTCTGAGGGCACTGCAATACAGTGAGTCCATTAGAGGAAGTAGCACATGCAGCGAGACTGAGCAAACCCAGAGTTTTACTGGAACTGCTTATTTAGAAGTGAAACGAAAGGCAGAAAGTGAATATGCAAACATTTATCAGGTTTAAACAAGTTTGTGTTTCATTTTGTCTGCTGAGGCCGGACACACATTTGTTTAGGGACAATGGTGCGTTTGATGCTTGCCGAAACCAATTTTAAAAATCAACAAGAAACGAGAAATGAAAACGAAAAATGTTTCATTTTCTGCTGATTCACGTTTGACCTACTGCACCTATTAAATGAGTAAACAGGGTTTCTAATAAACTGGAAGTCAGACATATTGCTGGTGTTCACCACCCCTCATTTCTCAATGTTTTGTGAAGAAAATGGGTGTAGTGCAACCGTGAATGGAAATACAGCGTTGAAGGCAAAGACTGTTTGTACAATCACTTTAAAGTCAGTATTTTGTGTAACCACCTTTATTCTTCAACACAGCCGAAACCCTGAGGCCGATTTCCTGTAATTTCCTTAAGTAGTCTTCAGGAATAGTTCTCCAATAGTCCTTCTTCCTGAAGGACAATGAAAAGTTCTTATTTGGACGTTGGTTGCTGTTTGATGATCCCACACTTCTTCATTAATGTTGAGGTGCGGGCTCTGGGGAGGCCAGTCCATGACTGATTATGTTCCACTGTGTGGTTTTCTATCCAGGTATGCTTTTACTGTATGGTATTGCATCAAAATCTAACAGTACTCTTCTATGCTCTGTAGGGAAAACAAATATTATGCTAACTATGCCAAAACACTAAAGTTTTATATAATTTAATGCCTGTCAAACATTGGCATTTTTCAAAGATGGTTGGAGTGGAATGAAAAGCAGCGAAAAAGCAGTCACTGCTTGCTGTAAAGTGCTATTCCTCAAGACCACTTTACAAAATTGCAAGGAGGTCGGGCTCCTTGGAAACTAAATATAAAGACTTTTGTACAGTAGTGTTCACCTGCACATTTGGACAATTGTATTCATATTTCTCTGAGCCAGAAACACAGACAAAGGCACAGGTTGTTGCATTCCTAAGCAATGCAACAACTTTCTGCAATGCAATGCATCATCTGAGAGCAAATGACCATCAGTTAACATGTTAATTTCAGCCCTGTACACTACTTTAAACTGTGCATACTGAGCCACTATAATGTCACCTTAGTTTTTAAATTAACTTTGTTACTTTTTACTGAAATTATTAACATATCTTTCTTCATATAAAACCTTTTACATGAAGTGTTGTATTTTATTCAAATTTGTACTTAAACGGACTGTTATTACATTGAAGACTTGTACTGTTTGCTAATTTTACTCTATGATTTTCTACTTAATTGAGCCATTTTCTGGGATGGATGTGCCACATATACTTTTTATGTAGACAGACCTGCACTAAAGAAGATGACAGAGAAAAAACAAAAAACAAGACAGAGGGAAACACCAAAAAACAGAAGCAAGGATAAAAATGAAAGTAAGCTCGAAAAGTAAATTCCAGAAAAAATTTCCAGAACAGCAAATACACTAAAACAGGAACCCAAAACTCAAATACACAGCACTCTAGCACCATGAGCTCTTTCTTTAATAAATGCTGTTACTGACGTTAGCGAGTATCGCTATCACAGATGACGGCCAAAACCAGGAAAATCAGATCCTTCAGAGAGACACAAACACATTTAACCCTGCCGCTTATTGCCGAGGATTATTGTAAACTGATTACGGTTCATCAGATATGAATGAGTAGTGTGTGTGTGTGTGTGTGTTGTTCATGGAGTTCTTACTCATAATGAAATGACCCTGAAATAAAAGTGTGTACCTG